CTTTTCTGGTCCTCCATACTCTCCACCCCTCTTATAAATAAAGGTGTATTTCTTCAACCTGCAGTTGGGATTTCTATGCACCGCTGTTCTCTTTACAGATTTCCCTGCACATCTTTTCTTGATCTCATGAAGTTGTCGTGGGCTAATGAAAATAGGTTTTTTATTGGTTTATTTATTCATTTTCGAGTTTTCGATCGCAGCCGGCTTGACTCGGGAACCTTTTCCCGGCGGTTATTTCTGAGGGAGCGTTTACGGGGCTGCAACGCAGGAAGTGTGCCTTGACAGAGCGAGCAGCCTGATGTGTTGCAGTGTTTAGCGGCAAGCGACTGTGTTTACGTCCCCACATCCAAGCTCCAGAGCTCCGATCACACTCGAGAGGGGACAGCCATGATTAAACCGACGATGTTCTCCGGGCTGCCGGAGCTCGGGATCTCTAACGGAGAAGATCTCAAAGAAACTCTCACCAACTGCACCGAGCCTCTGAAAGCCATTGACCAGTTCCAGGTAAGGGTCACTTTGTTCTACCATCAGCCCGAGCAGGTGATAATAAAGCCATGTTTTCTAACGCGTGTAGTTTTATACACTTAGCAAAGACGTGGAGGTGTACCACGTCAGATTTATTCAGCTACGTGCTAATGTTAGCTCCTCACTGCTGCAATGGAAGATGAGCTGAGGAAGTGGATGATGTTTCAATGTGCAACAAGTTAACCACAGTCTGTGAGGAGTACTCAATCACTGTGGGTGATGGTGGAAATTCAGCACAGCGGGAATGTGGTGTCATCTTATAATAATGATAATAGCACACTTCATTTCTGTAGCACCTTTCTAAACGCAAGTTCAAAAGGACAAATTCAAGCAACAACAGGGGGAAATTAAAAGCAATTTGAAGATCACTCAACATTATAGCATCCATTTAAAAAGTTGCAAATGAGGAAAGAGTATGACCAGATCAAATAAAACACTTTAAAATGATAAGAGTAGGCGATTAGATCAGAGCTAGGAGAAAGTACAGTTACAAACACGTGTCTTTAAAAGAGGTTTAAAAGAGGAAAAGGAGTTTGTTAGACTCTTCATGGAGGTGCGTTCGAATTATGTTTATTGACTAGTGCTTAAAACATTTTTTACATTTTATTGACTTTCAAATCGTTCAAATTAAAGTGTTGGTATTCATTATAATAAATACATATTTTGTCATAAATACAATATGTTCAACCTGTACCATAAGGATTTAAGATGTAGCATACAGTTCGGCTGCTGACAGGTTGATGGAACAATGATATTTTTTGTGTTTAGGAAGAGATCATCTCTGCTTTAGTTTGATTTAATTCTTAAATATTATGTCTTGAAATAGGTATAACTAATAACTTGTGATTCTAAAAATGTTCTCAGTCAGATGAGCCCAAGAAGCACTTCATAAATAAAGTGCTTGTGGACTATTTACACATCCAATGTGCAAAAAGATTTAAATGGTGTGTTAAATGTCTTCAGTCAGTTTTATGTGATATCAGCCAGTGTAAATGAGCAAAGGAACATTTTCTCAGCTGAGTCAGAAACTGCAGCTTGAGCTCAAGACTAATGAGTATATGATGAATTATCTGTCTGTAGATGGAAAATGGCATCCTGCTGCCAACTCTCCAGTCTGCTCTTCCCTTCCTTGACCTCCATGGAACGCCTCGGCTGGAGTTCCACCAGTCGGTCTTTGATGAGCTTCGTGACAAGCTGATGGAGCGAGTCGCCACCATTGCAGAGGGCAAGGACGAGGACAGGTGTGTCAGCGGTTGTTTATGACTGTGTATAATATTCTCTGAAGGAACCAGCTCAGGTGCTATTGTGCTTTATTTTTTTTTTGGTTTTTAAACTACGCACAGATACGGGAAGCTTGAAGAGCTGCTGGAGAAGAGCTTTCCACTCGTCAAAATGCCGTCCATTCAGCCTGTGGTAATGCAGGTGCTGAAGCATCTACCCAAGGCAAGTGTTCTTTCTTACCTGTTGAAGACTGAAATGAGCAAAAAGAAATGAGCAGTATTAAGATTGAATCCGTATCAGTAGTGTCTGTGTTAACATTCATTAACAACGTGTGTTCAGTCACAGAAAGTAGAAGCAACAACACATTCAGTCTGACACTGGGATGACGTTTGACCGGCATCACTGCAGATGCAGGATTAAAGTTTTGGTTAAGGTTAACTGATAAAACAATTCATACATTTGGAATGATGGGTCTTAATGCATCTTGAGTCGAAGCAATGAAGTGATCCACAGACTGATTGTGTGAAGTGTTTTGTGAAGGATCATGTACTGACACAGGCTTATGTTGTTGTGCCGCTTTGCTTTCACACCACAAACAAAGATCGCTACAGTGAATGGGCCCTTTTTTTGAGGTAGAAGCAAACGAAAGTTATGTAAAATGAAGGATGTCTTAATTTTGAATAATGAAAGAGGCTAATGCATGATACAGTTAAACTATTGATATCCCATCAGGGTCTGTAAAGTTGACTTTAAATAAAGAGAAAAAGTGTCTTTATCCTTTGATGGAATATGATATGCTGAAGGCTTTGCTCTGTCCCAGAAGGACAAGGCCTGCAGCCACAGTGTATTAGAGCTCCCTGAATGGTTTAAGTATGAAAATGATCTGCTATGACTTTCACAGTCACCTAATTTCAACCTGACAGCAACACCTAGGAGACCTGCTAGACAGCGCTCCCCTGTTCCCTCATCAAAACATAAATGAAGAGTCAGGAAATCTCATCATGACTAGGGCTGTGACGGTATAGATTTTTTTCTCACCGTTGTGATAAAGCAAATATATGATCGAGGTTTACCTCCAAATCCTCCAACCACCCACCCACCCCGGTCCCAGCCCAAATCAAGACCACGTTATGAATTTCGGTCATATTGTTCAACTAAATGTAAAAGATGTTGGTGAACTGAACTTCATCTTGACCACATGCTCCATCATGCAGGTGCCAGAGAAGAAACTGAAGATGGTCATGGCTGACAAGGAGCTGTACAAGGTGTGTGCTGTGGAGGTGAAAAGGCAGATCTGGCAGGACAACCAGGCTCTGTTTGGAGATGAGGTCTCGCCCCTCCTAAAGCAGTACATCGTGGAAAAGGAAGCGGCTCTGTTCAGCAGCGACCTCTCCATCCTCCATAACTTCTTCAGCCCCTCTCCCAAAACACGGCGCCAAGGCGAGGTAAGTGGCACGCATCAGGTTTCTCGCAGAGACCAACCAAAATGAACGTTTCCCAGTGTGCCGCTGTTAACTGTTCAGTGTTCTGTGCACTGAAGGTGGTCCTAAAGCTGACTCAGATGATAGGAAAGAACGTGAAGTTGTACGACATGGTGCTGCAGTTTTTACGAACGCTCTTCCTGCGAACGAGAAACGTCCACTACTGCACACTGAGAGCAGAGCTGCTCATGTCTCTTCACGACCTGGACATCAGTGAGATCTGTTCTGTCGACCCCTGCCACAAGGTAAGGACACCGACAGCGACGGCATCAGTTAACATTGTGCTACTGGAGATCCCCAAACCCTGTATTTCCAATGTGTTCGCCTTGTATGATGTGCATCTCTTTCTGTTGTGCCAGTTCACATGGTGTTTAGATGCCTGCATCCGTGAAAAGTTTGTGGATGGCAAACGAGCCAGAGAGCTGCAAGGTTTCCTGGATGGAGTGAAGAAGGGACAAGAGCAAGTTCTCGGGTAACACAAGGGGATGGCTTAAAGAGAGAGTTCACTGAAAAATGAAAATTCACTCCTTGTCTACTCACCACTGTGCCGATGGAGGGTCGAGTGAAGTGTTTGAGCCCACAAGACTCTTTTGGAGTCTCAGGGGTAAACTGCATTGTAACTGGTGACTCCTTCGTCAGACGTAGTAAAACAGAAAAAAAACTAAATATGCTTCTTTACTGCTCCTGTGGTGTCATCCAAGTTTTCGACATCATATTTGAGTGGAAATGGCGTCATTTATATAATGTGTTTAGCATAAAAGTCCACTTATATCCTTTATCCCGTTTTAAGTTAAAAGCTGTTCATCTCTGTTGAGTGGAATTAAAAATCTTTGTGTGTTCCAGGGACCTGTCCATGATCCTGTGTGACCCGTTTGCCTGTAACACCCTGGTCCTGAGTATCATGAGGAACCTGCAAGAGCTGCTAAGTCAGGAAGCTTTACCCAGGGTGAGGGGACACAAACGACACGATACACAAACCTGCCGGTGGTGTCTTGTTATTCTGCTGATTGACAGCTGGGGGGCACTATTGTGTAATTTAGTGAGCAGTGCAGAAGGCAAAGAAGAGGGAAAAGGCCAGTAGCATGCAGGCATGGATGTAAACAATGCAGTATTTAAAACACTGAAATCATTTACTTTGCTAAGAAGGAAATGCATCCATCAGGTTAGTTTGACCTCAGGAACACATACAGCATGTTTTGAGAGTAACACTTATTGCAAACATTAAAGGTCCAGTGTGTAAGATTTAGGTGAAAGGGATCTATTGACAGAAATGTAATGTAGAATAATCCTCATGATGTTTTCACTAGTTCATTTAATCTAAATTGTAGTAATTGTAGTTTCTTGACCCCAGAAAAGTCCCTTTATATTTAAATACTTTATATTTACATGGAGGGGACCCTCTCTACGGAGGCCGCCATGTTTTTTACATTAGTCCAGACTGGACAAACTAAACACCTTTTGAGTTTTTATGACAACTGAAGCTACCACAGGTTCTTTTTCATGTTTGGAAGGAGAGGGTGAGGTGAGGGGTGTTCAGCTGCTACATGCAACTTCAACACTAGA